CCGGAGAAGTAGAAGGCGATGGGTCTGCAATCTGGACAGGGGAAGCTCCGGTTATCATCTTGACCTCGACATGAAGTTTCTTGCTTAGGATTGCCACCGACTGCGGAGAAGAACTACCAAAAAAATGTTGCTAGCAGAGGAACCAGAAGTCGCTGCCGGCCGGATACTGGGGGAAACAGGCGATTTCCGATGGGAACACGCCATAGTGCCCACTGAATTGAAGGAAATCAGTGTGAGAATTTGTGGACTATGATGGAGGAGAAGGTTGGAGAAGAGGGAGATTGGGTTTGGGATGGGAGAATGAGAAAGGATAAGTTTTGGGGAACAATACGAGGAGTATTAGGTAATTTTGAATTTTTAATATAATTTCAATTTAACTATTATTTATGGCAATTTTGTAGTTAAAGTCAACGGTAACAACAAAAAATAATGTATCTAATGTATCTAGTACATTACATCATATCAATTAGCTTGTAACTTTTTGTGTTTTTTATTATTGATGAATAAATTTATTTCTACTTTATAAAAAAATAAAAAAGCAAATTAATTACTTTAATTCTATTAATATAAAAGCTGAACTTACCAAAGAATTGGAATATGAATTGGCTAGAATGAATAATATAAATTTGAATAAAATGAACAATCGTTTGCGATTAATTACACGTTTCCTCTTCATATACGGCTCCTTAATTCAGTCTTCATTTCTCGCTCCTTAATTTTCATTGCTTGGGGTGTGCCATCCTTTGCGCATTTTGAAGCTGCAAGGGAGGTATCTGAAAGACAAAATTCATCCAGTTAAAAACAGAATAGTAAACTTTCACATTTTGAGAAGGACAAATATACATAATGAGTGCATTTTTCTTTTGAGTGGCACATAGTTAATTGGTAAATTTGCAAAATCAAATTTAAAGATCTTTATATGATGGATTTTCACGTTCTAGACGAGGAAGATAAAGGCTATTTCTATTTGTGCAATCATACAAAACAGAGAATGTGGTATGGCATCTTGTGAATTGGCACAGATGGATGATCAAGTTAATACCTTGCATTATTTTCCTCATTCAAATCATTAATTCCCTCATCACATTTCTTCCTCATTTTTGGACTCAAATTGTAAGCTTTTAGTTTATATATTTTACTCGTTCCAAAATATCTTCATTATAATTATCAAAAAAAATAAATAATGATAAAAAGATAAATAAACACATAAACAAATTTAAAAATTAAAATGAAAAAACAAATACAAATATAAGACCATTGAAAATAGTTGTTATTAAAAAACTAAATAATTAATAGAACAAAAACAAACTAAACAATTCATAAATTCAGTGTTCATAGATCATTGCATGCAAACTACACAAAAACAAATAGCACTTCAAGGTTCAAATTATACAGCTCAAGATCAAAAGCAAACTAAGCAATTCTAATGTCCATGAAAGTTAGATGATCATTGAATGCAAACTAAACAAACACAACATTGAATGCACTTCATTGATCAAGGTCCTCCACCCAATTCTTTCTCCATTTGGGCTGCAATGAGACAAAAATCTGTCTATCCTATAGAGAATTCTTGAATGCAGCAATAGCTTTTCTTGCAATAGAATAAGAAATACGTTTCATGATTTGTAAAATACGTATGCACTCCAGAATAGAAAAGCGATCATCAGATGAAATAGCGGTATCAGCAGCCCTATATCTATCAGCTATGGCTTTATAAAACCTTTCCTTTGCAGCTAAGGCATAGATCATGCATTCCATGAACTTGACTATCATATCTTCCTTGGAAACCTTGAAAACCTTGTTAGAACGGCTTCCAGATGTAGTTGAACAAGAACCACTACAAGCAAAGTGCCCTATACCAACGGAACTCTATACCCACGGATAAAAAATCTGTCTGTATAAATTATGTATACCAACGGAAAACTTCAACCGTTAGTATACACAGGTCTATACCAATGGAAAAATACATCCGTTTGTATAGACTTGGTTTATACAGATGGTTTAATGATTATCCATCTGTATACAATATATCTATACAAACGGATTAATGTTCGGTCGGTATAGCCCCTATTTCTTTAACACTTAATTTTTTCTCCCTAATTGCAGCCTGCCCCTACTTTCCCTTCCCACCGCGCACCCCCAATTTCCCTCCCTTATTTCCGAGCTTCCCTCCCCAATTTCTGACCTTCCCTCCCAGCAAATCTACAAAATTTGTAATTGATTTTGCTAAAACTCAAAACCCATTCGAACCCAGCTGCAAAATTCGTTTCTGCCACTCCAATCCATCAACGACAGAGGATTGCTCGCAGCCGACCGCAGGCCCGTTTGCTCTCTCCTGTTCGTCATCCATGGTACCGTCGCCTCTCTCTCTGTGTTTCTAGAAGATTCCATTAGGCTGTGCATGCTCATATTTGCTATTACTGGTTTCATTTTTGCTATTACTGGTTTCATTGTTGTTTTCCGATTGTTTGGTTTCATTCTGGTTTCAAGTTCCGATCCATCGCCGTCACCGTCATAACTTCACTATTAAATCTTCCAAAAAACTCTCTGCCTGAAATCACCGATTCTTCTACATTCCCGAAGCAGAGAGAGTAACTCAAAAGAATATTTGTAAGATATGATTACGGGCCAGGAAGAAGCCGACCGGAGAATATCGCCGTCAAAGGAGTTTAGAGGAAGAGAGGAGTTCCGCTCGACCATTTTCCATGCAATCTTAGCTCTCCCTTTATGGCTTGGACCCATCTATTTCAACGCCTTCTTAGTCCTTATCTCGCTGCTTTTCCTCCCCCTTTCCAAGTCCCTTGTGTTCATTCTCTCTCTCTTTGTCTCTCTCTCTCTCTCACTTTCTCTGTTTCCTTCTTTTCTAGTTCGGTAGAAAAAACAAAGTCTTCTCCTTTTCCCCTGTATTTATTCTGGGTCAAAACCCCTTTTTCGGATTTTTTTTCAGGGTGATTGGATTGCTTTTGGTTTTCATGCTCATTCCTATCTACCCTTATAGTAAATATGACAAGCAATTGGCCAAGTACTGTTCTGTGTCTGTTGTTTTCCTTTTTAATGGTGAAGTGAATGAATTTCCTTAGTCATTTCTTGAAATGAATTCTTTTATTATCTGATAAAGACAAAGAGAGATGAATTTCGGTGGGGTTGATTCATCTGTATTTCTCCAGAATAGGTTGTTTCATATCCAAATTGAATCATTCTCATAATTATGTCATGCTTTGATTGGGTCAGCCATCCCATTGCAAGTTGATTTGGATATTTTCAACATGTAGGGGCTGAGTGTTTGTTGCGGTGATTTGAAATAGGAGGGTGGGGGGGCATTTCTTAGGGATGGCAGCAAATTGACACCTTGGTTGCCCAAAAGCTGCTAGACCATTTTAGAATTTCTATGGAACTAAAAATTTACTAGCAAGAAAATAAAAACGTGCGCGATACATATAGCTAAGACAAAGTATGCCGCGTTTTACTAGTTAATCCTTTTGAGTTTTTACCCATTGTTTTTGTAATCAACCTTAGGGATCTAATTAACATGTGCTTTGATGCCATCCTTACACTTTTGATATCATAATATTTATATTTCTCAATTTTTCTATATTATCATGTAAATGAAATCATAGATAATAAAGATTTGTTTTTGATGAAGAAGCTGTATATATAGATGCAATATGTATTCATTTTATTGTTAAATATCTGTTTCACCTTGAGGATTAATTTACTTCTAGGTCATGAGTATTTAACAAATCAAAATAGTTAAGGATAAAGTTTATCTAATGGTTCTAAACCGTTGATTAATAGAAAATTTTGTTTTCCTCATTGTTATTTGGAAGAGTTATATATACCAGATATCTTTGTAGGATGTGATGAGATAATTCATGAGTAAATGATTCAGTTTCTACAATTCGAGCCTCTTTTCATTTGAAGCCTCTTTTCTTATTTTTATCTGATAGAAACAATGCCATTCCATGTCTGAAGTCTCTTTTCTTTCTTTTCATCTTCCTCATCCTTGTCCTTCCTTTTTCTGTTGGATTCCCTTCATCAAAGGGTCAACTAAAATTGTGTATGGATAACAGCATACAATCAGTGAGAAAATTAGGTCCAACTGCACTTATTTTACAAATAGAAAGAAATTGCAAATAACTTGATGAAGAAACACATATATGGATTTGAAAAAAATATTTAATACTTGGATGTGTCTAAATGTGTTATCAAAAAATGAGAGATCAACTTTTCTTTTTTCTTTTTCTTTTTCTTTATTTTTTTCTGCATTAGAAATGCATTTTATAATTTTTGTTTTTCAAAATATTACAAAGTAAATTTCAGTTCTTTTGTCATTTTTTGGGACAAGTTTAGAATTTTTGGTTGGTGGTTAACTCTGGATTCTTGCTATTAATTTCCAGATCTATTGAGGATCCTGTTAAAGACAGTACTTGAGAGTAGCCTTTGGTTTTACTAAGAGAAGAAGAAGGTTAGTCAATACCTAATGCACTTGGGATTTTGTTGATTTGTGCTGTTTGTTCCTAATTCAAATGTAGTTTAATTTTGTTGGTAATTGCTTCTTTTTTTCTTTCTTTCTTTCTTTCCGATTACAGTTTCTTTCTTTAATGCTATTGATCTAGTGTCTTTTGTTGGTTGGTCTTGTTTGAGTTGACCGAAATATGAAATAAAAAAAAAAGTTTTAAGGATATTTTTCAAGTTCATTGTGGTAGCACTATCAAAAAGTGTTAAAATCTTGCCTTCAAAATTCAAAACACCTTGACCTTGTATGTATGTGTGTGAATAGTAAGCAAGCCTAGTGGCTTCTTTTTTTTTTGGGCATTGCTATTTTTCATCTCCTGATGTTGTTAATTTAGGTAAGCTAATAAATACATTGGTGACATGATTTTTAATATTGTGTTTCTAAGAGCATCTTGTTCTTTTATGGACAAGATTTCTGGCATAGAGTTAGTTATATAAAATCTTTACCCAAATGACATTGTATCTTTGTTGTTGAAAATGACATGGTATCAATTATCTCCCTAATTGTCATTAAATTGCAATTTCACGAAATTCCATTGTCTATGTTGATTCTCATATGCAAGGAGGAAACCTTAAATAGTCATCAAATAGGAACCAAAATTCACTTTGGATTTCAAGAGAAGTAGAGGAAATACCATTGTGTCAAAAAAGCTATGCATCTTGGTTGATAATCCCAAGTTCACATACAAAAATAAAACAAAAACACAAACTCAAGTTCTCGAACACAATTGGGAAAAGCAAATATGCATAGCAGCCTCTTTTCTTTCTTTTCATCTTCCTCATCCTTGTCCTTCCTTTTTCTGTTGGATTCCCTTCATCAAAGGATCAACTAAAATTTACTTCTCTTTTTCCATTTGCACAAAACATGCGTCTAGAAACCTTAAACTCATCATAAGAGAAAACCATTTGCCTTAGCTTGTTTTTTTTTTTTTCCTTGGTCCCTTTGATGTTGCCTGAGCTTGTTCTTTATGCAATAAAAAATGTGTTATTCTTGAAGTCCAGACTAAACATATGCTAGTAGCAAATTCTACATGGCAATTGGACAGTCTTAAAACCTGCCTTCTCCTCAACCAGGCCAGGCGGGACCTAATTGGTTCAATTTATATTTCGTTTTCCATTTGGACAAATGAGGAGGAGAAGTTTTCAGTAATGGTTTATTTATTTATTTCTAAGACAAGGTATAAACTTTGTAAGTTTTTAAATTTTAATTTTTCAGAATTATTTATAAATAAAGTATATATATATAAATTCTTTTAATTTTTTAATCTTCCTAAACGTGGGAATTACTGCATTTCTAACTATTAACAGATTGATCAACTGAGTTTGACAACGAGCTAAGTAAAGGTTTGTTCTATCTAAGCTCTCAGTTTCGGTGCACAAATCCGTTCCCACAAAAGGTATGGTGGCATCTGCTTGCTTAGCAGCTTCCATGATCAATAAATTAATTTCTTTAAATATTAATCATCAAACTTAAATTTTAAATTTAATTGTAAGATAATATTTATTTATTATTTACTACTTTCAGTCTTTTAAGTTCTATGGAATCATGATTATTTGCACAATTGCTAACTTGTATCCTCAAGAATTGAGTCATCATTTTGACTGGAAATGTGAACTCCTTTGTTTCCTTTTTCTGCACCCCTTTTTCGGATTTTTTTTCAAGGTGATTGGATTGCTTTTGGTTTTCATGCTCATTCCTATCTACCCTTATAGTAAATATGACAAGCAATTGGCCAAGTACTGTTCTGTGTCTGTTGTTTTCCTTTTTAATGGTGAAGTGAATGAATTTCCTTAGTCATTTCTTGAAATGAATTCTTTTATTATCTGATAGAGACAAAGAGAGATGAATTTCGGTGGGGTGGAGAATATGTTAGGTGGATTAATGCAGCTAATGAAGGCAAGATTCCCGGACGAGAATATCGCAGATATTCTACAAGCTGCCACCCAATTAGGTGCTGCCAACAGATTAGATAGAGAGGTAAACTTCTTTTGTTCAACCATTACAACTTGACATTTTTTTCCTTTGTATTCTTGCATATATATGGTTTGGTAGATGACAGATAGATTTTTCATGAGGAGCTTTGATGTGACAAATGTTTGCCTTTTATTTTTATTTTCTTGATTTATTTTGATCTTTTCAATCAGATCCTTCCATTTTATTTCAAGTAATTTTTTGTTTCTAGTAATTTTAACAAGTAATTTTATTTCCAAGTAATTTTTTGTTTCTAGTAATCGGATCTTTATATCATTACCATTTTAATAAAGTTAGCTTATGTTTTCTTCTTTTATTTACCTGTTCAGTATTCTTTTATTAGTTTCTCATCTCTTCTATTTAGTTTTTGGTGAGTTTATATTTTTGTTCTTTTCAATTTTCATTTCAAATCTGTACTTATTGAATTTTATTTTTCAATAGGCACATGCGGCCCGTCAAGAGGTATCTCATACTTACTTATACCTCTTCATTCGGGTTTCACTATTTTTTAAGTTTAATCGTTAAAATCTATATTTCTTTTTTATTTCTTTTCATTGAATTTTTAAAATTTTAGTTGTCACTTAATTACTTTCTACTGAATTGTAGGTTCCGGATGCTAATAGTGGGCAAGGTTTTTCCCCAAATAATCGTTCCTCTTCACAATCAAGCCATCACCTTTTGTCTCGCCAAAATGAAAGTAATGAAGAAAATGATGGGCGAAGGGATTGAAAGGCATGTTTGTGTCTCCCTGCTTGACAGTTTAAAGACTAATGATTTTCTAGTTTGGTAGATGCATTTTCTTTTGGACAATTTTACATTGATACGGGATTATTGTGAAGTATTAGAAGTTTTACATTGCTTTTCATTGGAAATTCGTTTAGATCTGTTATTTCTGTTTTGTTTGTTGATAATATGATCTACAAATTTGGAGATTAAGCTTGCTTTGGTGGATTTTTGAAGAGTTTTTGTTTCATCTTTCAGCTGTTACTGAGATGATTTCTGGGAATTTCAGTATAATTTATGCTTAATTCAGTATAAAATATCTCTGTTTTTGTTCATGCTGCATATGGTTGTGGCTGTTGGGCTAGAATATTTTCTCATATTTAGGGGAATACAAGGGCTAATTAAAGCACCAGTGTCAGTAAAACAGATGGAGAAAATGGTACTTAAATATTTGCTGCCACAAGTTGAAGCTGCATCACTCTTGAGCATATCTCTTGCATTTGCCTGGCAAAAGGTAGTGAGGCAATGGCTTCATTTCATGATTCATTTCATACTTTGGAGCTCCTTTGTTATGTGTTTGTCGGCTGGAATTCTTCTGGTTTGCTTCCAGAGACCTACCACAAATGGTGTTGGGGTTTGCTTCATTGCCTTTGCAATTGGTAATGGCTTGTATGCTTGTTGGGTTAGTCCGAGAATTAAGTTCTGTACCTAGGTTTTGATCAAAGCAATGGAACCTACTTCCAAATTTACAGATTTAAACCACCCCACTTATGTGATGCTTGGGGCTGGATTCATATGGATGTCTATGTGGATTTTGGCTGTGATTGGAACCTTTAATTTCCCCGTTTCAACCATTGATTATAATTGTATTGTTCTTGAGCTTGGCTTGGACGGCTGAAGTCTTGAGAAATGTTACCAATTTAACAATTAGCACTTAACGGTAATTTCTTTGTATTACCTCAGAGGAATGCAGTGCAGTACTAACTTCTGCTTTCAAAGAGCCTTATCCCTAAACCTTGGAAGTGCTTGTCTTGGATCCTTATTCGTTCCAACAATAGAAGCACTGAGAATTGTAGTAAGAGGCTTGAAATTGTAAAATAAATTTAGATATTAAATTAAATGTTATTCCATAAATTTAAGTGTTCAAAAAAAAATTTTATATAACAAAATAGAGAATACAAGCAGCATAAAAGGATATATAAAAGGATATTGATATAAAAAATAGAGATATAAATAATTTTTTATACAATTTTTATGTTTTATTAAATTAATAATTACACTCAATATAACAAATTTTAAATAAATAAATAAACAAATTATTTAAATAAAATATAATTATACAAAAATATTATCTTTTATATTTTTCACAAAAGAAATATACAGAAGCCTTTAAATTATTAAACTGCGTTGATAGCCTGAAAGCACTCGGATTACTGACGTGGCGAAAAAAATTTTGAAATCTCGCCCAAGCGCGAACTCCATTTTGTCCATTTATTTTCCCCCTCTGCCTATTTCAGGATCCACACCACACCAAATCGAATTGCCTATTTGTCCATTTATCTTTCTCGCTCACTCGCTCACGTCTCCTTGTCTTCCAAAAGCCCTAACTCTCACGTAACTCGCTGCAGCAACCCAGTCATGCTTGCACTGTTCTGACCGATCTTTAAACGATTCTCATTGATTTTGACTATTTTTCGTGCAGGATTAAGGTGCTAGATCGAAGGCTAATTCGAAAAAAACTGATAGTAAGTGAATTTTATTCCTTATTTTGCTTTGTTGTAATTTCTGAGTTAATATTTTTTTTGATATCATAGTGATTGCGGTTGCGTTCTAAGACCGTCGCAGATTTAAGTGTTAGCTTCTTCTGTTAATCGATGTGTTTTTTTTTTTTTTTGGAAAATTTTTTCGTTAAGTTGAA